TAGATTCAATTCAATTGTTTATTATTTTTGTGCCACGTCAACAGCCGTAAGGCCAATTACAGACTTAGATGATAATAATAATAATAATAATAATAATAATAATAATAATACTGTAATATGGAAGGTTTTACTACATATATTTTACAATTTACAATTCTCCCCTTATATAGTGCCGCTGGGAGAAAATAAATTATGAAATAATAATTGAATGTCTCCAAATTCGTTCTTGATGTTCCTACACAACTCCCACTATTAGAGCTTCCAGCTAGGTTAGACACACAACCTCAAGCCTCCATCCATATCATTTGAAATTTTATTGTTAAGAAAGTACAGTATCTCATACAGCATTTATAAACATGTTACTTTTGCGGTTTACGCAGCGGTGAATGTTTAGCGTGTTGTCTTACTGAACTGCAGCCAAAATATGATGTTATCTTGGGTGACCACCAACGTCTCGGAGGAACCTTCTACCTCCGCCAATAGTACTGAAGGCAATTGTAATCTCTGAACTTGGAAACAAAAGTGTTCTCAAAGTACACACGGAACTGCAATGCAGGACCACAATCTGCATCCGTAAGCGTGTTTGCCACCTACATCCAAAGAACGCCAAAGTTATGTTTCATAAATATTTGCTTATTTTGTTCTGTGTAGTGGGTCCCTTACCGATTATAGTGGCCACGCGGTCTAAGGCATGAAAACTTTCGCTTGCTCCAACACTGGGATTGTGGGTTCGAATCCTATTAAAGGCATGGATGTCTGCGTTTATTCTGTGTTTGTGTGTGGGTAGTGGCCTTGCGACGGGCTGATCCCCCGTCCAAAGGTCCTAGCGACTCTCTAAGATTAAGAAACTTAAGTGAAACGAAGAGTTTCACGGATGTCATGTGCTCCAAGTGGGAGCAACAGGAATATAAGAAGAAGAAGAAGAAGAAGAAGTGGGTCCCTTGTCACCACGGCATGGCGCGTCCTCAGGTTACTGATGGAGGAGACGGTCTCCAGATATGAACAGTAGCTCCTAATAACTTGTATAAGTAATTGCGGACATCCGACATGAGGTGGTCCTCATGCTTGGAAGCTGGGCGTTGGACTAATAACTCGTCAGTGCAAATATAATTTTGTTACGGAATGTTATACAGGGCATCGGACTTGGACGGAATTTGACTCAGAAGAGAGACAGCGAACACGGTATTGAACCTTCGGTTTCCATAAAGTGTTGGGAAATCCTTCAGTTGCTGAGCAACTAACGGCTTCTCAAGAAAGACTCAATTATATGTAGTTAGTGTGTGTTTGTTTGTTATTATCATAATATAATGAAATTTGGAGATCCATATGTGCGAGTGTGTGTCAATACAGGCGAGCCCCAGCTTACGAACATAATGTCTTCTTTGAAATATATAAGTTGAATTTTCCTTAAAGTCCGTAAGTAGAGGCTTGTCTGTGTGTTGTAGTGTATTGTAGTGTAGCGTACTTATAACAACCCCGGTTGTAGTTCGTTAAAAATCAACCAAGTTTCGGAGGAACATGTCGCCACAATCTTCGGGATCGAAGAGTAAATTAAGCGAGAAATCCGCCTGGTGGAATTCCTGAGCTCTGCTTGCAGGAGAATTTTGTTACATTGCTGCACGGCGTTATATCGCACAATACACAAACATTTCTAACTCAAACCTGATTTATTTAACTCTGTTCTAAAGCTTGTGAACCAAAATATTTTTAATTTCAAATGAATTTAGCGTGTTCCAAATCAGTATGCATAACCCACAGTATCTTCGAAGACAGTTCAGGAACACACATGGCTGAAACTGAAGGTTGCCACCACCATGTTAGGCCGAAGGGGACCTGTCTCATGTCATGACTTGTCCGGCTTAGAGCGATGTTATGACGTCACTAACAGGTGTTAATTGTAGGATCTGCACCTGATGCCTCCAATTAACCAGAAGAGGATAAAAGTATTAAATATAAATGATGATTTATCACGTTATTTATGTCAATATTTGGAGCGATTTGCGTCAGAAATATTGTTAAAGCCATCGATATTCAGAGCTGCCATTTTTTTCCTTAAACCTTCCACGTCCTCTAACGGCGAAAGGAACTCCCTTTTATTCAGCCACGTAGCTATTAATACACAAAGAAGATTTGGACGGTCTCTGAACTCAATAACATCCCTCAGAACTTCTAATTATTTCTGCCTCAATGACTTTCTGATTCTCAAAATCATTCACACTTACAGGAGCATACGGTAGTGTGGCTGATTGAGAAACTATGCTATAAGCCAGAAGGTTGCGGTTCGAGTTCCAATGAGGTCATTGGATTTTTCAATTGATCTAATTCTTCCAGTCGCACCGTGTTCCTGGGGTCGTCTCAACCTCTAACAAAAATGAGTACCAGGGATCTTTACGGAATTAAAGGGCTTCAGGCGCGTAAGGCTGACAACCTCACGGCCATCTCTGAACCGACTGTCTAGAAAATGTGGGAGCCTCGACGCCCCACAACCTATGGGCCTCCACGGCCTGTCACAGGGATAGTTTTTATTTTTTTTTTCAGGCTTATAAATACTTCAAGTTCACAAAAGTTCTGATCTCAGGCCACTGCACAGTGTCAACGTTCCTTCTTATAGCTCGAAGGTCCGTCTTCCTGTGTGGCTGCTGTACTTACCATTTTTTGGTACAAAGTAAACGAGGCAATATCATGGAAGACACAAACGTAGAGGCGGAGATAATATTAAAAGAATATTAAAAAACTTGTTCGGAGAAAGCGATTCGTGTTCAACTGGCTCAGGATAGAGTTCAGTGGAAATTTCGGAAAAATGGAAGGAATATTCTCCTTGCATGAAGAAGGGAGGGGATTTCATTAGTAAGTTAGTGATTATCGACCTCTCAAAAAGGAATGAGCTCCATGAAGCTATTTAGATAGTAAATCAGCCAATGTAGGATATTACAGAGACCACGGGTTCTATGCAATATTCGGAAATGGTTCACTTACCTTCCCTTTCAATCGATTATACAGCTGCAGTTTACCTGAAACCAAGAAAAGAATGGTCAGTAGTCCTGCTTCCTAATCATGAGAACCGACCTTCAGAACTCAAGCCAGACATCAGCTAGTCTTACTCTGGTTTCCCGTCATGTTCCTTCATCCCTTAACGAATATTCCTGATGGTGTCTTAAATTAGTGAAGGACCGCTGCACTTTCCCAGTTCTCTAAGCCTCCCTCATTTCGACCCTATACAACGTAAGCAAATAACGAACATGTAATAACATGACTCCAAAAACTATAACTTACACGGAAATAACAGTCATTCTGGGTTTTGTTCTGCATGTCCTATTCGGAATTCTATTTGACCTCCCTTAATTTTCATAACCAAGCATTATAGATTTAATTCAGCACACGGAGTTAAGCTAAACTTTCTTTAGTTAGCAATGAAAGACTTAACGGTCGTTCACAGTTGCCGCGCGGTCTAAGGCATGAACTGTCTTCGCTCGCTCGAACACTAGGATAGTGGGTTCGAACTGTAGTGTGTGTGTGAACTAGCAAGAGCATTATAGTTAGTTGTAGTTACAATTCATAAGTGTTCAATAAATCCAATTATCAATCCAAACCTCTTCGACAATAGTTCCAAAAAATCGTGACAATATTAAAATGGGTGTTAGAGAAGTACGATGACGTGGTATGGACTGGATTCACCTGACTCATGATAGGGACGGAAGGGGGGGCCTCTCCTGAACATGCATATGATCATTCGAGCTCCATAAAATGTTGAAAATATTTAAGTAACATGGAGACCAGTGGCTTCTCACGGACGCAGTTCTGCGGAGTCGTTCGTTAGTCACATTAAATCTGATGACGGAAGTAGATTCAGCCTGCAAAACGCTGCGTTCGAAAACACTGAGGACGATGCAAAATGTTCAGAATATTTCCGACGCTCGCTTATACGAATTATTCTAGTTGGGGACCAAAATTATACTTTAGCGACCGCCTCTATGCCGAATGAGTATGAGATGGGCAGTGCAGGTAGTACACATCGGGAAAAGCAGAATGTTAACAGGATTTCGGTGAGAAAACCAGGAGAAAAGTCCACTAGGAAGATCTATACATAGGTGAGAGGATAATATTAAAATAAGTCTTAGAGGGATAGGATGAGATGGTATGGACTGTATTGATCTGGCTCAGATACTGACGACGGTAATGAACCTTCGGGTTCCATAAGTATTTTTTGAAATTCTTGAGTAGCAGAGCGGCAGGCAGTTTCTCAAGATGGGAACCGCTCCATGGAGTTAGTTGTATGCAGAATAAGCCATGTTTGAAATCGCAAACTTTATGGATGTTTTAAAAAAATCCCTAAAAAACATATTTTTTCCATCATGTTACCTTAGCAGAAAACACTTATACCTTGTCACCCTTAGTTGTTTTAGAATGTGGTGGAATTGGCAGGGGGAGGGGGTGCCGGACTGTCAAATTCCACGCACGTCTGAAGGTTCCACACGAAAAGGGAACGTAAGGGGACCGTGACAAATTGACAACAACGAAACCTGAGAAGCTTTTATTTAAAGTGCTAGGGGTGAGTCAACGAAACATTCATCATAGTAAAGAAACGTGGAAAAGCAGTCTCACAACACATACTACAACACATATGAGTATTAAGTCTTCTCGCAAGCTAACTCCGTTTTACGCCTTTGTACTCCTGCAATTAACATTCTTCTAACTCCGTTTTATTTCTAATGTTTTAAATTCTTATTCTACCACTCTTTTTAGTGGCTGCTTACCTTGAATTCTGCGTTATACAACAGCGGGGTGGACCCTACGGAAACAATTCGTAGGGGTGTTAACAGCTCCGTTATATAGTAATGGACGTACATTATTGTCGCGTATGTTGTACGCATTATCCAGCAACGGGCTCTTTACCATGAATTTGTCTCTATGAGAAAGTGTTTATCGAGCCGTTGCCTAGCAATGGATCTCCGTCATAATTAACCTCACAACATTTGAGATTCTCAGAGCTGTCCTATATTAATTAATGTCTCTTGGGATATGACGCCGTGTGCTTCATTTGTAGTTTGTAAAAGTAAAAGATAAAATTGTCACTGTTCTTAATTAATTAAGCACTATGCAATAAGGAGACATGGGGGAGCGGACCTTGACCTTGACCTTGACCTTGACCGCGGCGTTAGATGGAGGTGAGTAATCAACTTCACACCTGGCCGCTTTAACCTCTGGGAAACACCCACGCCGGTAACTATTGGATACGAGGCTGGGTGGGCCTCAGAGAGAAATATTGCCCTTACCGGGATTCGAACCCCGACCGTTCAGACCGTAGTCTGTCGTTATACCGACTGGACTACCCCGTCTCTTTTACTTGTATAGTAGTTTGTAGATGGTTTAACGATATCATCAGTTACTCAGAATATTATGTGTAAGGCAGCGTTACAGCTATCCCTGTTACAGGCCATGGAGGCCCATAGATTTCTGAGACGTCGAGGTTCCCATATTTTGTCTACACATTCAGCTCACAGATGGCGTTGAGGCAGCGGTCATGGTCTAATTTAAAATACAAAAGCCGGAAGGTCGCGGGTTCAAGTCCCGATGTCATTGGATTTTTCAGTTGACCTAATACTTCCAGCCGCACTAGGCCCCGGGGTTTACTCAGTCTCTAACAGAAATGAGTACCAGGAATTAATTAAATAATTTTTCTGGGGAGTAAAGCGCGGCAGGCGCGTAAGGCTGAGAACCTTACCGCCATCTTTGAACCGACTGTCTAGATAATGTGGAACCCTCAAGGTCTCACAACCCTATGGGCCTTCAGGGCCTGGTACAGGGATAGCTTTACTTTACATTTTTTTATTCTGGCATTTCCTGGAGTGACTGAGGGAAACGACGAGGAATTGAAGTCAGGACAATTGGTGTCCCGGCGAGGTTCGAATCGGGTGCCTCAAAAATGAGTCAGAAGAATTTCCGCCTGAACGAACTTGCTTGATGTAGACCGGTAGATATTTATCGGCGTTTCGGTAGAATCTAAATGCTTCAACTTTACGGTAGGAGGATACGAATCATGAAGTATGATTTTAACGTTATTTATACGTACGTAGCTACATTTGTACGCATTCTGCTGTAAGCAAGCATACTTGTCAGCTGTCACGCGAGATGCTTTGAGAGAGACAGTTACAATGTTTGGTTTCCGGATGACAAAAGTAAGATTAGTGTAAAAATAATTAATGCTAATAATATTTTCACGTGTAGGGGTGACTATAGACGGGATTTGGATTGTTGAATGGATTTATTGACCACTTACACACACGAGTTGGAAATACAAACAGAGCTACCGCTAATCTCCATAATTCACTATCACCACATCACACGCTAAGCCTTTTCCAGCCTGTTGTGTCTCCACCATCCATTCTCTGGCAACGGCCTCTAACAATGGAGATCTTTCAGCTTCACGCGTTCAGATTCTATCTTCACAGACTCCCTTGCAGAGCTCCATAACAATTGACTCTGTCACTTGCTTATAACATCTCGGCACGAACCACGTATAAACACCCCGTTTTCAACAACTCTATTGTTGAATGCGTATTCGTTGCCGCAGGAACGTGTTTCCCGTACCGTTGCCCAGAAACAGTCGTTGTTAACAGAGTCACAGCTTAGTAACGGATCTATACGCCACAATATCTTAGACTTCAAAATTGTCATCGTGTTAAAAATCTATAATTTGTTATTATAGTTAAAATTATTACTTAAATAAATAAATACATAACATTATTATGACCTCTTCTATATCATAGAGTGTTAAATTTATGCGAAGAAGTTTTTTTGGTACACGAAGAGACTCAAAGGGATAAAATAGGAAGATACAAGAGGCCGCCTGTAAATTAATAGTTAACAAGAACTGAGGATGGTTTAACATACTTATGGAGACTTTTATTACCTTTTATTACCTTTTCTTCCAGCCTTAATAGTCATAAGTACTGGTCATAAATAAAAGAAATTCCTGCCGCTGGTCCCCTCTCTCGTGACTCTGAAATAAGAGTCCATTAGCTGCATATTCTTGGACTAAATCACATCGCGCCGCTGCCAAGATCCCAGGCGCTTATTCTAGGTGTAATTTCGGAGCTAATTTCAGTCAATAGGCTCTTTCTCATTTAACGAATCTTCCATTCTCCCTTGAGACTTATCTTGCCAGTTCTGTCGCTTTAGAATGAAGGTTATAATTATGGCTTATATATAAATTGTGGCCTTAGATGTTAATTTGAATAATTTTTTCCGTTATCCGTTTTGAAAATTGTTTAGTGCGTTCGTTGATAGGTAAACATAAAGAAAATTTTTTCCCGTGCTTAATTAGTTAAGCACTATGCTATGAAGACGTATGGGGAGAGTGGAGTGGAGCGCACCATTCTTGACTTCGGCACTCGACGGAGATGAGTGGTCAGTTTCACGCACAGGTCGCTTTACGCCCGGGGGGGGGGCCTCCGTACCCAGGCTGATTGGGCCTCGGAGCCGGTCTGGATGCTATGGAATACAGAAAAATATTGCACTTATAGAAAATCAAACTCTGGTCGTCCAGCCCGTAACCTGTCACTATATCGACCGAATTATTTGGATTATTTTTTATTCTGAATTCGTAATGCATTTTATATTCTCTGTCTAAAACATCTCTGAGGATATATCATACCTTGAGTAGGCAACCTTATGGAAAAGAATGTCCCATATATTCAGCGGGACATCAGGTATAGGGATTTTCGTCCCTATCAAATGCTGAAAACAGTAAACTTCTAATTCTGACGTAACTATGTACGTCACTGTCTGATGAAGATGCACATTGAGAAATATTTTAGGCATCTTATTCTATTCCTATTGCTTCCACTTGTAACATTGGGCATCCGTGAAAAGCTCGGTTCACTTCACTTTCTTAATCTTAAACATTCGGTAGCACTCCTTGGACGGGGGATCAGCCCGTCGCAAGACCGCTACCTAACACAAACACAGAATAGCGTAAACAGACATATATACCTTGAGTGGAATTCTAACC